TGTCTGGGGTTGGGGTAGGAATGAGGACTGACTGCAAATGGGCTTGAGGTTTCAGTTTTGAGGTGATGGAAATGTTCCAAAAATTAGATGGTAATAATAATTGTACAGTTTTATAAATTTATAAAAAAATCATTGTACTCTGTACCTAAAAAAAGTGAATTCAGTGTTATATAAACTATATCTTTATAAAGCTATTTTTGAAAAACATACAATAGGCTTGCCTATTTGTCAAGACATTAACTATCTGGAGTCAGGAAGCCATGGAGGACATTATTCCAGAACTTCCACTGACTGGTTGTGCGATATTAAGAAAGGGTTTGCTTTTTTCTGTGTGCAGTTTCTTTATCTATCATTGGAGGTGTTTGGGCTAATGCCATCTTAGGAACTTTTAGGCTCTACGGTACCCAAGAAGACACAAAAGCAGGAATAGTTACGGCTGTTATTTTGCCAGATAAGCCTACCAGGCTGGCAACAGTATGGGGCACAGGCTTGCTCCTTATCAACACCTGGCTCATGCCCTACATGGAGTGCTGGATGATGCCTGGCTATTGGTGTAAGGAAACTAGGAAGAGCAACATTTAAGTGCCTCCAAATATAATATCAAAGTTATTTTCTAAGAATATCATATGCTGTGGGATGTAGGGCAGTGTGGCATTCCTCTCCTTTCCATTGTGTTTTGTATTCTTCTCCAAGAGTATGAAACAGTGGGAGTGAAACATCGCCCATTACAACCTGGTCTGGTTGGGTAGGTGGTCTCAGTGAGGAAAAGAGGGATATGTGTGTGTGTGTGTGTGTGTGTGTGTGTGTGTGTGTGTGCAGCCCCACTTACATTGGGTGTGTTGTGTTGGCTAAGGATGGGCTTTGGGAGAAAGACAAATCGAAATTTCCCTCCTGGTCTTGCCATTAAATCCTGTGGGAGCTTCATTTCACTTTTCTGAATCATCTGTACAATGCGGGTGGTGGAGTACCTCATGAGATGTTTAGAAGTTTAAAAGAGATCTTCTATATTAAATACTTAAAGTAGTTTCAGAAACAGATTAGGTACTTCCTAAATGTTTGCTTCTTACGTTCCTGTTCTTTCTGTCCCCCTTTACCAAGTTCGGGGTCTGTCTGGAGACGGCTGGGCCTAGACAGTGGAGACTACAGAAGTTGTACAATTACAGGGTTAATTATATGCAATTACATGCGAGCACAGTCAACTAAGGACGTGTGAGTTACAAGGAGACCCAGCTCTTCCAAGTGATTGTGAACTCATCCCTCTAGGCAGTGACCCTGAACACGACTCCCCCCTGGGCGGCCACTTTACCCATCTTTACTTCTCTCTTTGACTTTAAACTTCCCAAATTGGAGTTGCAGCTTTTTGGTAAGATTTTTTTAGATAGTTACTATTCCTTTTCATCGAGGCCACACCAAAACCTCAGATGAGAGCTACTTCTAAGGCAAACGAGCCCAGGAGCCCACCCAAACCTTCTACTTCACCTTTGGCCAAAGCACCCAAATTTCTGTTTCTGCTTGGGGACAAACCAGTGCCTATGTTTTCTGCCCATGTGTCCTTTTCAGAGAAAAGCCAGCAAACCCATAAAGGCTGGGTTTTGTCGGATTTTGCAGGGCCACACACACACTGAGGGGCAAACTGATGGGAATAAGACTACCTTGCCTATCTTTGCACATCTCATTCCTGTGAAGAGAGGTAGAGATGTGCTAGGTATGTTTCAGGGGCAAGGGGGGCGGGATGAACATGTAGGGGGCTTTGTTTCCGCACGGCACTTGAGATGTTCATTTATTCTTCTCTTCCCTTATTTAAGATGTAAGAATAATTTTGATTGCATTTTTATTCAGCAAAGGTATCTCAGACTCTTTGTCAAAACAAATTAAGCAAGGCAAAGGGCTCGGGGTAAAAAGCGAAAATAACCCCGCCCCTGCCCACCCCATCTCCTTTCTCCCCTCACCCTTCCTTGTTGAGGTCCTAATGTCAAGTGGAAGTAACCATTCTCAGTAGACCAGTATGGATTCATCTCTTGACCTTTTTGGTTTTTTTCTAATCATGTTACCATAAATGTAAATTGTTCTGCAATCCCCTCACCCTATTTATACAGGCTGGTTACCTGTTACAGGATGGCACGTACAGCTGCCTCAGTTTTTTTAGTGACTACCTAGCATTCTGTTCCATGCAAGAACTTCCCCTGGGTTAGCCACACTCCACCCATGCGCATAGGCGGTGTTTCCCGAAGCTTGCACAGGTAACCCTCTGTGTGTCTATCTGTGTACACTTGCAAGTAATTTTGTAAAATAGATTCTTTGACAGAAATTTCTTGACCAAAGTATCTGTCAGGTGGAGGACTAGATGCTGTGAATACAGCAGGGACAAGATCTAATTGCCGCCTGCCTTCATAGACGTTGCCATCGGGCTCAGCGCTGCGTTTCGGATATACACTCCGTCTTGCCCCTCTCCCTGCTCTGCCCACTCATGTAATCATGATTACTCCTGGATTATAGATCATAGCAGCCTCTGGCTCGAGAAAGTCTAGAAAGAGTCCGAGGCCACCCAGACCATTTGTTGCACGGCTGGGAAACATTTCCACGTCTGACTCTAGAACTCCCATGTGATCCATTACCTTGCCGATGACTAGTATTTCCTTCCTTCCACCCAAGGAAGATGCGTCCAAGTGATGTGTTCAGCACTGGATCTAAAGCTTTAGATATCCAGGTGCAATGAACAGAAGCAAAGAGGCTAATTCTCGTTTATAGAACTGTGACCCACAGCCCAAAAGAAGGAGCAGGGAGAGATCCCTGGCCCCCACTATTCATCTGAGGGTCTGCCTTGGAGTTATCAGATTTGAATGAGGTCTGCCACTTTGCATCTGAATAGCCTTGGGCAAGTCACTTTTCTCTCAGACTCAGGCTTCATTATCTGTTGGGCAGAAAATATCAATTATCAGGGTTTCTGAGGGGCTGTGAGGATAAAATGTGTGTATAAAATGTTAAGCATACTTCCTAAGACAGAAGGGGAGCTTCATAAAAGTCAGCAATTGTGATTGCTTGTATTTTATTTTATTTTTTTTTCTTGTGCTAAATCTGATCACCCTCTGGAGTTCCTGGCTTATTTTGCCAATTCTGAGCCAAGTACCTGCTTTCTTACCACCTTTGCTGTCCTCAGGAGCCCTCAGGCAATTCTCAGGATGGCCTTCACTTCCATCTTAGGAGAACATGAACATGATCTGTCCCCGATATAGTCCAGGAGTGCAAGGAGGCTGCTTATCAGAAATGGAAGGGCAGGCATGGGTAATGGTTTTCTAAGTAGCCATTTACACTCACAGTTTGGGAACTGGGTGTGATTTCTTCTTAGAATAATTCCTTAGAGATTTGTGGCCTGTTCTGATGTTGTCATCTCGTTTCCAGAGTCTCTTCTGTCCTTTGAAGACCCAACTTTGGAACTTGGCCCTTTGGCTCGGCTCTCACCGCCAGGATAGACAAGTGCAGATGCCACTTGTCATGCTTGGGCCAGGTTGCTCGGCTGGGACACTCGCCACCGGGCCAGGCCATGCCTTCGCCAAGCTGGGCTCTCTGCCATGGCTGGAGAAATGCCAGCAGGGAGGAGGCAGGGCCCGGGCAGAGCAGGGGTGGGTCATTGCTGCTGGGAGCCCGAGGTGGCCCGCAGCTACACGGCAGGATTAGTGACATCGGCCCCTCCCAGGGAGCGGGTTCAGACAGGCCGAGAGGGAGGCCGCCCGCACCTGGGTCAGAGGGGGCACTGGCGGCCAGGAGAGTGAGCCCTCCCGGCCTGGGCTCCTTGGGGCCTGCCCGCTCTGGCGTGGCTGTTGGGAAAACCTGTTGGGTAAGCTCCCATGTGTTTCCCTATAAGACTGGGCCCTGCAGTCTAGGCTGCAAAGTGCGGTGAGGGGCAGGAGCTCTTTATTGGCTCTGACATTTGCTTGAGAAGCTGCCAGAGGGTGGTTTGTGTTTCTTAAACAGCGATGTGTTACGATAGCAGGGCTGCTTCTGTGGAAATGATAGCAAGCCCTGCCCGAGGCTGGGACTCCCTGACCCACCCTTTTGCTAAGCCAGCATGGCCAGATTTGGGGGTGGCAGATGTAGCTGCCCCCCCCCCCACCGACACAGTGCCTGACCTTGCGGTAGTCAGGTCATCTCCCTGAGCTCCATTCTCCTCGTTGGCTAGATGGGAAGAAGGGGCCGCCCCTCTGGGGCTCCTTAGCAAATGTTCCTTAATGACATACTTACCCTGTGCCATTCCGGGTATTTTGCAAATATGATCTCACTTAATCCTATAATGTTCACATGATGTAGGTGGTATTAGTATCCGTGCTTTACAGATGAGGCCCAGAAAGACCAGATGATTTGGCCAAGAACAAGGACACAGTGGAGCGGGCAGGGCTGGGACTCGACCCTGAGCCGACTGGCTCCAACCCCTCTTGACCACAATGCCGTGCTTCCCGGAGCCTGACCAGGACCCGGTCCTCTCCCTCTGAGTACTTAGGTCGTTTTAGAATAGTACTTGTATCGATGTGGTTGTCTGCCGAGTGCCCACTCCGGTGTTGGATTCTGAGCTACCTGCTTCGGTGTTTGCTCACCACCACGTACCCGGCACCTGGCTCGGCCCCTAACCAGAAACTTCAGTGTAGCACCTGTGTGAGAGGTTGCCAAGAGGCTCAAATGAGATAAAGAACTTGAAGTAACAGGTGGCTTCCTCTGAAATCACCCGCCCTGCTCTGAGCTCACCACAGGCACTTGGGAAATACTTATGCCTGGGCCAGACTCACTGTGCACACTTGAATGTGAAGCTCCCCAAAGAACCTACTTGTTATTTATTTATTTATTTATTTATTTGAGAGAGAGAAAGAGAGAGAGAGAGAGAGAGCAAGCAACCTTGGGGGAGGGGGAAGCGCAGAGGGAGAGGGAGAAGCAGACTCCCTGCTGAGCGGGGAACCCAACATGGGGCCCAATCCCAGGACCCTGGGATCATGACCTGAGCTGAAGGCAGATGCCTAACTGACTGAGCCACCCAGGTGCCCCAAAGTACTTACTTTTGAACCTTGGATGCAGACTCTGGATCATCTTCCTGCCTTGGGGAGGAGCGTTTCCATCCCTCTGCTCAGCGACTAAAATCCTATCTTCAGCTTCAGCTTCAGGCTTGACAAAGAGCATCTCTGAAATGACCCCAAGAAGGCAGGGAGAAAAGACCTGGCTTCCAGGCCACAGGTTCTCTCCTCTCTTCTCTGGGTTTGTGGAGCCTGAAGGGATGATAGGAGTCAAGAACCAGCCTTAAACTGTGGTCCTCAAATGGACACTCTCCCCATCCTTCCCTTGCTCCTGTAGCCAGCAGGGGAAGAACGATGCATGTGTGTTTCTGTTCAAGGAGACACTGAACAATCCATTTCTAACTGATGAATCAATCCCATGCTGGTGAGAAGTCGAATGTCTTTTTCGAAAATTTGCTAAATTTGGACGTACTGTTTTCCTCTTCCCTCATGCTTTCCCTGAGCCCCCTGGCTTATGTTCCTGAGCACAGTGAACCCTACCTGTGGGCACGGCTAGGTTCACCAAGGGTTTGGCCGGTGTGATGCAGACATGCTCCCAGCCTATCAGAGAGATGGGTTGTAATAATGCATAGGTCTCATTGATCTTTCAGTTGGGATGGATAATTTGGATAACAGCAAAAGAAACATCTGCCAGAATATTATATGTATGTATTTAAGTCCTGTTAGCAAAGAGAATATTGTAGGAACAGGTCTGAAACAACACTCCGTAGGAGGAGCATCAGGTAATGATAAATGACTTGGGTTTCTTTGCTCAAAATGGAATCTGGTGAATCAGAAAGTCAACACAAATTTATTGAGAATCTGCAATATGCCAGGTCCTATTCTGGAATTGGGAGGTCTTTCAGTGGAACTCTGTTGTCCCAACCCTTAATACTGTATCTGGAGTGATAATAAATAAATAATAATAAATCCAGAAAAAGAACGCATCAGAAGAAGAAATTGATTTTTTTTTTTTTCCTTAGCGATGTCTTCATTACCTGTTTGAAAAGTTCTCCAGGACCAGGCTGGCTATCTAAGATAGCAAGTTATCTTACTTCGGGGCAAGATACTTCTTGGCACTTATGTCTGAGGTCTTTATTTTTCAAGGAGGTGTCTTCATTTGCTAAAAGACAATGTCTTGGCTCAAATGAACCAACTCAACAGTCACCTGCATTCCTTGACAGACTATTGCTTCCTAATATTGCCACACCTGGGGTGTGTGCTGGGGCCCTCAGTGTGCAGCATGAATATCTTTATCCATTTAGGGTGAGGTGGTGGCTGCTTCTGCTATACTCCCCACAGGTGGCTTGGCTCTTAATCAAACTCCTTTTGATTCACATGGGAAGTCTTCTTCAGGAATTCCTTCTAGCTGCTGAAAAGTATACGTCTCGTCGCTGTGGGCAGCGTGAGTCTCAGAAAGTCTGGGGCTCAAATTCGAACAGGAGGTTGTCAATAAAACTGGTATGTAAATCTGTGTGATTGAATTTATAACTTAGTAAGATTTGTTATACAGATGCTATTTCAAAATAGAAAAAAGAATATTTTGTTAGATTCTGTTGATTCTGGAATAGTATCATTAATCTTATAAGGGGGATAATTGGAGCCAATCATTTTAGAAGTATTAAGAAGTCTGGCACTGTGGATGAATCAGATGTCCCCGTGCTCTCTTGCACCATCTTATCCCTGAATGGCTACAGAGTATGGATGTTCGTGCATGAATGTGCAAACACACACATGCACTCACACACACAGATACATACACACTCGCATGCGCACATTTCCTCTTTGTCTTGGTCTCTTTGGACAGCCCTCTATTTTCTCTTGAAAAGTAATTCCGGGTCTATAACCAACCGTCTGGCTCTTGATCCTTTTAGAGCTATCAATAGTCATCTGCCTGGCCCTGTTTGTTTCATAGGAACTCTTATATACCTGACACCAGGATCTCCAGTTTCCAGGAGGTGGTCTCACCCAGGTCATTAGGCACCTGTTCTGGTCCCCACCTGAGCTGTCACTTTAGCCCTCAGCCTTCAGCTGTAAATTCTGCCCAACAAACCTTCAAATGCACACCGGGGCCACTAGAGGTTGCTCCTCCTGCCCCGGTGTGATCGACTCCAAGGCCAAATGAGGGTGTGCAGTGCATGCCAATGATTGTCCCAGGTGCTCTTACCAAGCCAGACTGAAGGAAGGCGCATCATCACCAGCAACAATCCCTAGGCTTAGTGGTGACTCATGCCCACACCTGCCAAGGGCATGGTAAGAAAAGCCTCATCTGGAGGACTGAATCTTCAGGTCAGATTGCCAACCAGGTTGTCTGGAGGAGCAGAAAGCAGCCATGGGAACATATAGATAGCATGGGGCCAGATCCTGGGACCCTGGGCCATTCATAAGCCACCTCGAGGAATGTTTATACACCAAATAGCATTCTAGGTAGGATCCTTGGGCTCCAGGTTGATTCTGAAAACTATCCCCAGCCCCAGTTGATGGAGGAACTTTGTGAACGGCATATGGAATAATATCATATGACATTCACAGCAATAAGCATTATGTTAATCAACACTAACCATTTGCTGGCAGTGTGCTGCATACTTTACCAGATGGCTCATTTAATCCTTTCATCAACCCAATATGATAAACTAGGATTCCCATTTTACAGATATGGAAACAAAGTTACAGGTAAGTGAGAGAACTTGCTCAGAGTTCCAAAGCTAGTTAAGTGATAAAACCAGGGTTTAAACCCAGGCAGCTGGACTCCAGAGCCAGTGTCCCATGACAGTACAAACCAGGGGCTTACACAGTCATTGTATCAAAGACCAGATAGTAAATATTTTAGTATTTGTGGACCATGTGGTCTTCATAGTAACTACCACTCTGATTCTGTGGCACAAGAGGATTTATAGACAATATATAAATTAATGGTGTGGCTATGTTCCAATAAAGCTTTATTTATAAAAACAAGCCGTGGGCCTGGATTTGCCCCACAGACTGTAAATTGCTGACCCCTGGCATAAACCAAAGAGGGGACTGAAGTTTCATATTCAAAAAACATTCCTTGGAACCCTCATTATGTGTCAGGTACCACAATTACTTTATTTTATTGAATCTTTCAAAAGCTGTGAAGTAGGAAAGGCATTCCCAGTTTACAAATGAGAAAACCAAGGCTCAATGAAGTCAACTTTCCTAGAGACATACAGCTAGTAAGTGGCAAAAGAGAACTGACCATAACTTGTCATAACTCATGTTCCTTTGTCATTTTTCTCTGTAGGCTTTCCAAGTAGACTGAAGCCCCATAAATAATCAAGTCTCCAGAAGCTATATGGCTGCCTTTTTCTTTTTCAGGGAAGTGTGAATGTGTCATAACTTGGCCAGGACCGGCTGCAAGGCATGCTGGGACATCAGAAGCAAGAGGCGTCTGGAAGAGGATGAGCTGCTGGGGCTCAACTGGAGGGAACTTATCCAGCTGCAAAGCCGGCCATTGGTGAGGAGAGGGGTCTCAGTTGTCCAGATGGTTGTGGGAAATTCTGACAGGTTCCAGGCTAGTCTCATCTCCACAGTGGGGTCTGTAGGTGCGGGCATGGGCAGAGGGATCAGAGATCTCTATGTGGGCCACAACGATATGGTGTGTCTTCCTGGTGTCAAGCAGAATTCTACTGGAGGCTCTGGGGAGGAGGGAGATGGAGGGGTTGGCCACCATTGTGGTGGGCTGGTTCTCAGGAATGAGTTCTAGGTACAGGAAGCAGTCAGAGTGAGAAACAAAAATCCTAACTAGAACACAGTCATATAACCCAGGTAGAAACACTGCCTCCACCTCCTTCTTCAGCTCATAGATTGCCTCCTCATCGAGATCGTTGCAGAACACTCCAGGTAGACTCCCCTCCTCTGTTCCATCTCTGTGCTGTATTTTTCTTTACTCAGACACACTCCTACTTCAAGGTCTTCACGCCTCCCATGCCCTCTCCTGGAATGCTCTCCTCTCAGATTTGCTCATGCCTTGCTCCTTCCTCCCTCTGCCTCAAGTTCTTTTTACAACAGTCACTTCCTCAGGGGAGGCCTTCCCTGACCTGTCATTCAATATTTCAAAGCCTCTTCCTCACCTGATATTTTATTAACCCCTTTTTCTGTGTTACATTTTTTCTCCTTAGCATTCACCACCAACCTACAGTGTGTTACCTCTTTACCTTGTTTCTTGACTGTTCTCTAGAAGGTCCAGGAAGTCAAGAAGTGTATGTAGTTTTGTTACTATGTCCACAGAGTTTAGAACAGTGCCTGAGACTCTGTAGACACTCAGTAAATATTAGTTGAATTAATGAATTAATTTATCACAATCTGTAATTATGTACTTATTTATCCATCTCTCTGACTAGCCTGTAAATTCTGTGAGAAATAAAACTATGTCTGCTTTTGCCTGCATCCCCAGTGCCTAGAATACATTAGGTGCTCAGTAAATACTTGTTGAGTGAAAGAATGAGTGAAAATTTGGAGCAGATATGGCTCCTCACAGGCAGAAGAAGTCTAAGAGCTTGTATATCTCATCAACTGAGACTTCCTCCGGTTGGATTGTGTTTATTATAATTATTTGCAAAGGAGTTTGTTTTCCCCAGTAATCTAAACATTCTTTAAAGGTCACATGTTGTGTCTTACTTATCTCTGAACTCAAGTTCCTTAATCCCAACTGGAGCTTAGTAGGTGATGGCCAATTAATTATCTGCCAAATGGATAAGGCATACCAGAAAGCCTAAAAGTACAACACTCACTGGAGAGTCCACTCCCACCCTGAGGCTGAGCCTGACACAGAGGGGCAAGGCTGGTTTTGCGGATTTGAGTGTCAGAGATGATACCTGGAAAGGACTAGCGAGACCACACACAGGAGACTCCGGGAGACCTCTCAGAGTCCCAGAGGGTGGGGCCCCTTCCAGACAAAGCTGGGGTGGCAAAGGCAGCCAAAGGAGAGGAGTCAGGCAGGTGAAGTGGAGATTTTGGGATGGGATGATGGGAAGACCAGGCAAGAACCCATGGCCACTGGGCTGCTCATGTTCATGCAGTGAGCAGTGAGAGGCAACATGGGGGATCTGGGTCCCTATAGCTCCAAAGAAGAGGCCAGGAGTCAAGGTGCTCTTCAAATCAGGTTGGAGATAGGATGCTAACCCTGTTCTCACCTCCTTCGTGAAGCACATATCCTAATTTGCTTTTCTTAATACTCTAAAACCTATAGAACACCCTGTCCAATATAGGTTGTTTACACAGAGTTGCCAAATATCAAATCATTCATGAGGTGGGTCCAGAACAATTCCTTGGAGTAACCATTTACATTAAGGATGCCTTAGGGTGGTTCTTTTCCTTAAATGGGTGAATGCCTTAAGTGGATGCATGAATGAATGGCCAAATGAACAAATGGATTAATGAATGAATAAAACAAGCTTTCTATGATTTTTTAGGATAGGGTAGAAGGGAGGGGTGCATTTAGGGATCATGGAAACTCTCTAAATGAGAGACAAAGCCAGTTGGATTTCAGAGACATAATCGTGTCCATATTGCATAGCACTCTCAGAGAAGAGCCTCTGAAAGTGGAAGAATCTGAACTGGACTGAATAGTGCAAACAATTTTTTGCTGTTTAATTGATTTTTGGGTTTGAAACTTAGTGAGATTTTCTTTTTTTTTAAGATTTTATTTATTTATTTGTATTAGAGAGAGAGAGAGAGAGAGAGAGCACATAAGCAGAGGGAGCAGCAGGCAGATTCCCCGCCGAGCAGGGAGCCTGATGCGAGACTCCATCCCAGGACCCTGGGATCATGACCTGAGCCGAAGGCAGATGCCTAACCGACTGAGCCACCCGGGCACCCCAGGAACTTAGTGAGATTTTCTGTGTTAGCTAATATATGGATGATATTTGTAGATGTTATATGAACATTTTATAAAACTATTATTTCCTATTTTATGCCTGTGTATACTTCCTACTAAGGCATATTGGACCAAGGAAAGCAAGATTAAGTCTTTCTATTTTATGGGTGTGTTTTGTGATGTCTCCTTATTATTTTTACAGTTGCCCCATTGTACATTTTGGTGCTATGCTACTTGGCATCCACATATATATGAGTATGTGTTCTGGATTCTATTTGTTCCCATTTTCATTACAGAGTAGATTAGTTCAATATATATAGTTAATGGGGACAAAAAAAGAACATGACAAATGGGGGGTCGTGAAGCAGAGAAATGACAAAATGTAGGGACAATGAGAACCCTATTCCATCTATGGTGGACAAAATATAACATGGCAGTGGAAAGAAAGAAAGAAAGAAAGAAAGAAAGAAAGAAAGAAAGAAAGAAAGAAAGAAAGAAAGAAAGAAAGAAAGAGAGAGAGAGATGGGTACTTGTGGAGTAGTTTCTGTTGGTCACTGGGTACTTTGGCCCCCCTGGTCTGAGATGGGGATCAGCAGCTTCCTTTTATACCCAGAAGAACTGATAATAGTGAGGTTAAGTGATTTTGCAGAAGTTACTCCTTAGAAATGAGCTTCAAACCCTAGTCTCTGTGAGTCCAACATCTTCTCTGGTGACATTTCAGGGTTTTAAGATGGAAGATACTCCAGACTGCAAGGACAAGACTAGAGAAACGGAGGGTAATGAGAGTAGACTTGGGGAGCAAGGTCATGGGAAATAGGGGCTGGAGTGAAGTCTCTGTGGTGATGGAAAGCCTCTGCCGGTGTGACTTAGATGTGGTCAGCTACGAGGCGCCCCTGGGTCCCCTGTTTCGGTAGAAGCTAGCTCAGGGGACTGGGCACATGGAGCTGAATCCACAGGGGTGAACCTCAGACCTGCAGCTAAGACTGACCTTGAAGTGTTGGGTGTGGGTGCTCAAGCAGGGACAGGAGAGCCAGTTTAGGAGAATTAATCTGATGTAAAGAAGGCAAAGGTGAGAAACTGAAAAGTCACCTGGGGGATTATCATAAAAGTTCAGAATGAAACACTCTGGCCTTGATTAAAACAGGGTAGCAGAAATGGAAGAGAACTGGGAGTATATTCAAGACGTTTGGAAGGAAGAATTTGTCTGATGTAATAGCTGATTGGATATCTGAGAAGAAGGAAAGGAAGAAGAAAGAAAGAAAGAAAAAGAAAGAAAGAAAGAAAGAAAGAAAGAA